CTTATTCACATATTAAACTAACTTTACATTTCTAGAATGAACCCAACTTAGTTGTAATGTGTTATCCTTTATATAAATTGTTGCATTTGTTTTGCTAATATTTAGTTTAGGATTTTTGCATCTGTGTTTGAGTGAGATTACCATGTATTTTTCTTTTTATGTCCTGGACTGGTTTTGATATCATAGTTATGACGACCTCATACAAGAGTTTGGGTGGTGGTCTCATTTTTTCTATTCTCAGGGCGAATTTCTGCTGTTTTTTTCTAATGTTTGGTAGAATTTACAGGGTGACATCTGTTCTTGAGTTTTCTTTGTTAGGAAGGTTTTAAACTATGGGTTGGATTTTTTTCTACCAGCTATTGGTTATACTATTTTTTATTGCTTATATCAATATAGATAATTTTTTCTCCTAGGAATTTGTCATTTCATCTAAAATTTCAAAAATATTGGTATAAAGTTGTTTATAATAGTCCCTTATGACCTTTCTTTTATTTTGAATATCAAACTTAGAGCAAATAACTTTTCCTAAATTACCCAAGAGCAAGCTCAGCCATGATGTCCCACCACCCCAAATACATTACCGCAATTCAGTTTGAAGACCCTATTTATTTTTTTAAAACAGCTTTCTAGAAGTATAATTGGCATACAGAAATACTGTATTTAAAATATATAATTTTAAAAATTAATATACATTCACCTTTAAAATCATAGCTATAATGAAAATAGTGAACATATTTATCATCATAAAAGTGTTACGCCCCTCTCTCCATTGTGAGTTAATTTTTGAATATGATTTCAGATATGGATTCAAGGTCATTTTTTGCATATGTACATCGTTTTGTAACCATTTTTTAAAAGACTATCCTTTCTGTGGTTGCCTTTGGACCTGTGTCAAAAAACGGTTGTCCATATCTGCATACTTTTATTTCGAGACTTTTAATTGTATTCCATTGATGTATTTATTTTCAAACCACTACCACACTGTCTTGATTATTGTAGCTTTGTAAGTCTTTAAATTAAGGAGTGTTAGCCCTCCAACTTGTTCTTTTTCAAAGTTGCTTTCTTGGTCCTTTGCATTACCATATGGATTTTTGAATCAGCTTGTCAATTTTTATACACACACACTCAAAGCCTGCTGGCAGTTTGATTGAGATTGTTTTGAAGCTATAGATCAATTTCAGAAGAATTGACATCTAAACAATATTGAGTCTTCTGACCCATGAAATAAGATATCTCTCTTCATTTATTTAGGTCTTTTATAGCCATAGTTTTGTAGTTTTCAGTATCAGATCTTTACATCCTTTGTTTATGAAATCTCTGAGTACCTCAAATTCTGAAGTTTCAGTTTCTAGTAGTTCATTGGTAGTATATAGAAATGGAATTGATTTTTGTAGATTGATCTTGTGTTTTCAACCTTGCTAAACTCACTTACTTGTTCTAGTTGTTTTTTGTATAGATTTTATATTAGAATGGCTCTAAAGTAGACTTTTTTCCCAGGTCTAGATTAGCTCTGCTCCTAAAGCATGACTTTTCTGGGATGTCTGTCAAATGACCTGTGCATTCAGCAAAGTTTCTTCATTCTGGATGGTTCAAATTAAAACATCCCCCAGCCTTGTAAGAACTTTGGTAGTACTTCTTTAGTTAATTTTGTAGAGACTCTGTATATATGTATGTACAGCTTAGAATTTAGTCAGAGTATCAAGGGGGCCTTCATAGACATTTCTTTCTCTGTGTATTTTCCTCAAATTCCGGCTGCCATTACTTCCTCAGATTCTGATCTCTGTTCAGTGAGATCACTGTGCTTTGACTATCCCCCTGTCTGTCCCACAGTTAAGAAAGCACCTCCAGACAAAAGCAAGTGATCATGGGACTTGCTTTGTTTCTCTTTCCTCAGGGATTACGGTCCTTGCTGTCTGTTGTCTGTCTAGAAATTGTTGCTTAATATATTTTGTCCTGTTTAACAGCTGTTTATGGTGGCAAGATTTATCCAGTCACAGTTACTCTATCATAGTCAAATACGGTTTTTAACTCAATCATATTGGTTTTAGCTCTATAGTCCAGTTAAGTCTCAACTATTATGTTGTGAGTTCATTGGAAGAGTAAAATTTTAAGGAAATAATGATGTATAACATGATCTTGTATATATTCATTTTATGAAAATGATTTTAAAAAGTTAATTTCAAATGAATGCTGTCACTTTGATGGCTTATTAATTTACTAAACAAAAAATAATTACCCAAGTCCTACAACACTTGTACCTCTTTTACCAAATATATTTATTCTGCCTAGTTATTGGATATATTTACTGTGGACATTTTATTCTGTTTCTTTTTAAATACTTTGGAAGTAGAGTCTTTGTACTTATGTCATAAGAACAGTTATTATTATTTCGATTGTACTTATATCATGTTTTGGATATAGCCAGTTTGTACTACGTACTCATGTACCACAAGCTTAGATTTTATTATAAGATAACTTGCTGTGTAGGCTGCCTAGTAATTCAAACATCAGATGGATGATTGGCCTAGGTGACTTTTAAATGCCCTTCAGCCTTGAGATTCTATTATTCTTCAGCAAATTAAATTCAGCAGATGTCCTGAGTGCCATTTTAATAGTGTATGCTATATAAGAAAAATTATCTTTGTCTTTGAGAAGCTTAGAATTTCATTGGTGAGATAATACCTACGTGTGTGTATGTGTGTGTGTGTAGAAATAGAATATGTAGAAAGAAGAGAGAGTAAACGTAGAAAGAGAGAATAGTTAAAAATTATGTATGATTAATTATAGAGTGAACAGCACAAACCACAGATGCTTGACATGTTCAGTCAGAGAAGGAGACAATGTGGCAGAAGTAGAATGAGAAAGAACACATCTTGTCATCATGTGTGTGGTGACATCAGCAAAAGAGGGCCACCAAAGCAGCACAAAGGAGTACACAGTTGCAGGAGTGTCAGTAAAGAGACCAGCTTAGCAGAAGTAGAAAGTTGTTTGGCCTTGTTTTAAAAAATATGTGGCTAAGTTGTGAACTATTGCAATTTTGTCAGCAGTGGCATTTCTTTCAGCAAGTGCCAGCTTGGTGACAGCATTGGCTGTCTAGATCTGGAAATCTTACATTTGTATAACTAAGGTTCCACTAGTAATAATGTCTTAATGTTGCCATAGACCAAAATTTTTTCATAGAAAAATCCTCATCTGTATCATGAGATATATCTGAGAAACAGTATGAACAGATCAGCTATCTGAGGTCTGCCTTTTTGGAGCTGCTAGGTGCTAGAGAAATTCTTTTGAGTTTTATAGCTCTTCTGTCTGTTTCAGTCTAGTAGATTCTAGTCTTTTGTTTGTGTTTAGCTTTTCAGGATCAAGGTCATACTGAGATTAAAACTGTCTTGCTGGGTTGATATTAAAATCTGGACATAGTATTCCATGCTGACTTTTAATTCTGGTATTAGAAGAGTAATTCAAAGCATACTCGTTTTGATTTAATATTGTTCAAATAAAATCAAATTTAATACACATATACCAGAATAAAAAATTTAGATAAATTTTCTACAAAATGGTAAAAGCACTGAAATTTCTTACCACTGGGTGTGAACTAAACAGATAATAGAATACTTCTGTGATTTAGTTTATTACTAAATACGAAATATGTATGAAGACATCTTTAAGTATGAAAATTCTGAATTTCAATGTATCATAGGTTTTAGTTTTTAAAATTACAGAACTGTACTTTTTGTCTTTTTTTTTTTTTTTTTTTAAGTATGGAACACGATCAGGTACAGTGGCTCATGCCTGTAATCCCAGAACTTTGGGAGGCTGAGGCAGGAGGACCACCTAACACCTGAGGTCAGGAGTTTGAGACCAGCCTGGCCAACATGGTGAAACCCAGCCTCTACTAAAAAATACAAAAAGTAGTAATGTGTGGTGGCACACGCCTGTAATCCCAGCTACCTGGGAGGCTGAGGCATGAGAATCGCTTGAACCCAGGAGGCAGAGGTTGCAGTGAGCCAAGGTCACACCACTGCACTCCAGCCTGGGCAACAGATTAAGACCTGTCTCAAAAAAAAAAAAAAGATAAATAAAAATAAAATATGTAAAATATGGAACACTTCACTAATTTGCATGTCACCCTTGCTCAGGGTCCATGCTAGAACTCTGCTTTAATATTGCATCATTTTGTTTGAAGCAATACCAAACAAAAGCTGAAAACATGACTAAGTAAAAGATATTAAAAGCTTTATGTATATGTCTTCATTCACATTTTCTAAAATCATTGTTTAAAAAATGCTTGTTTAGTAAGCATGCTGAAATCCTTGCTTACGTGTGTTCTTTTTTTGCACTGGCTTATTTTTGAGGCTGGCTGTGAGTGTTCATGTAAAACGAGAGAAATTCCAACAATAGAGAAGGGGGAGGTTGTGGGGGACAGATAAATGCAGTTTTACTTGACAACAGAGTTGAATGTGAGTGTGTAAAATTTCTGCCATAACATAAAACAGATTTGAAATCTTACCAGGTAAAACTTAAAATGTGGATAATGCCTGTTAATGTTAAGTACCACATTAAGTTATTTACAATATTTGATCCCTAGAGAAACTTAGAAAAGAACTTAGGGGATTATTTTGCTGCTTGTATTCTGATCACTTCATTATTAATTACTGCAGGATCATTTCTATAGCTAATGTGGGATTTTCCTCAGATCTTCTTAAGGCCATAGTCAGAACCAACTGAGTATATATATAAGATGATTGCATTATTTTTATTGGAGAAAAATTGAAACAAATGAAATTGTTTTAATAGAGAATATAAGACTTTCTCCCTCTTTTATCTCATTAATGTATATTTTATTCTTTTTAACAAGGTAGAATTTTGGCTATAAAACATACACTGTAATACATGCTTTTTTGGAAAAAATTGTAAATGAATTTTCAGGGCTGTTGGTGCTATGAATGTAGTACATGTACTTCTGTGGTTGTTTTAGTGTCTTTTTTGTTGATTTTTGGCAGATAAAATAACACAAGAAGATATTGAAGGCATTCTACAGAAATTTACTGGGAATATAATGCAAGTTCCCCCCCTGTAAGTTCAATTAGTAAATTTGGAAAAATGTTTTCTTTTCCAATGGGTAACATGACTCTAGTTAAAATACACGAGTTTCCTCTTAGCATATGGCAAGGCAGGTTTTAAATCTGATGTGCCAAATGTTCAAGTAAAGGTGAGACAGGATGTGGCGCTTTTAACACTCTCTAAGAGGGAGTGGAATGTGGTCTCCTTTGTTTCTGAGTGTGGCCACAACCTGGCATCTGTCCTATTACAGTATTTATTGGCTTTTCTGATTCTATCAACAGACATCAGGGCAGTTCTAGAGCCCAGAGATGTCTCTTTTCCTAGAACTGTTGTGGAAGGACCAGTCCAGTCTGGGAGGGAAGTCAGAGCTGTGAGTCGGAGTCCTAATGTGCCCTGCATGTCAGGTGCTGAGACCATTCCTGTTGGGCACAATCTTTTGCTTCACTGTTCTCTGCAACCAGCGAAACCGATGAGAGTTACAACTTACTAAAAATATAAGTAGATTGCTTTACTGCTTGTCTTAGTTTGTTTGGGCTGCAGTAACAAAAATAACATAAACTGGGTAGCTTATAAACAACAGAAATTTATTTCTCACTGTTCTGGAGGATGGGAAGTCCAAGATCACAGTGCAGTAGGCTCAGTTTCTGGTGAAGGCCTGAGATGCCTTCACAGATGGCACCTTCTTACCGTATCCTCCCATGGTAGAAGGGGCAAGGCAGCTCTCTGGAGCCTCCTTTATAAGCATACTAATTTCTTTCATGAGGGCTGCACCTTGTGACCTCGTTACCTCCCAGAAGCCTCCACCTCCTAATTTTATCACCTTGGGGGTTAGGATTTCAGCATATAAATTTGGAGGTTTGGCATTCAGATCATAATACCATGTAGCCATATTTTCATGCACATTACCATTTCAAGCAAATTGCCTTTTTTTAAAAAATGGCTGAATTGGTTAAAGGATATGTCAGGATAAGTTTCTGACTTTTTTTTAGATTTTAGTATTTATTTTGTATTTAGAAGCTTGGGTTTTTTTAAGGAACATTGAAATATCTCTGAGGAGATGCTTTTTCATGATTTTTGCCTCAAATATAAAAATTTAAAAATTTTGGCAAGATCTGCATAAACATAATTTTGGATCATTGTTAAAATAAATTAAACTTATTTATATTTATGTGTAAGATTGTTTTAGTATTTTTTATGATTATTGCAAGGATTTTGTTTTCTAGTAAAATTTCATCATGAAAAGCTACGGTACGCTAAGTAGATTATTTGCTTATTACCTTCTTAGAAATGTTTTGGTAACTTATATAAAAATGAATATTATAGTAGAGATTGTTTCAAGGAAATATAGCTGAAAGTATTATGACCAGAGTCTACTAAATTCCTTGTGCCTTTAACACAGAATGAGGACTTGTAAGGACAAGACATGAATAGATCGTCTCCAGAAAAATGATTAAAGAATAAAATTGGTAACACTGCTTATTGTGTGCCAGAATGAGGTTATATCAGCCTTAGAAATATTTAGAAACTCTATCCATGACAGCATTATGGAGTAGGTTAGAATTAAAAATTCATTCATTTTTCAGAAGGATTTTCATTGTCAAGCACTGCCAGTCATCCTTCCTTTCCATGCCAAATCTGGAATCATAATCTCTCAATCTTTCCAAATCCCTCTCAATTCTTGCTCTCCTTTCGTTTCCTTTCTCCTTCTCTCATCTCACAAGCTATTCTGCATTAAAGAAAGATGGACAGAGACTTTCGACTTTGATGAAGAGAGGTGAAGTTGTAGAAGCAAAACCTGCCAGGCCAGTGACTGTGTACAGTATCTCCCTTCAAAAATTCCAGCCACCATTTTTCACCTTAGGTAAGATGGAGAAATTTGAAATCATTTGTATTTACATGTACTTTTGATTTGTATTTGGCTACTTTTGTGTCATTTTAATAGATCTGTAGGATGTTGGAGATTTTTTAAAATTTGAATTTAAGGAAAGTTAGGATTTCTTCATACTTTTTTGGTAACACATTTAATGAGACACCTGTAGCTATATGGAGGTTGAGAAATGCCTTTCTAACTAGGCTGTTTCATGTATTGTACTATGTTATCTTACTAGAAAGTTGAAAGTAACATACTTTAGATCTCTATAGAGAAGAGTAGGTAAGGAGTATATACTTTTTAAATTTTAGTTTTTATTATCTTTTGGATGCTTTTCCTTGGCTAGTACCCCATACATTCAGTTTTAGAATTGACATTAGTTTTCCATTGAAAACAAAGCATTTTTAGTTTTTGGACAAGAAACCCCTCACCCCCTTCTTCACCACCTATAACTTATTAAAGATCCTGCAAATATGGAAAAAACGGGTAAGTCAGAAATGTATTCTTGAATACATGGTCACATTTTAAATTCAAGTTATGAATTTTAATTTCTAATACATATTTGAAATAAATGTAAACACTAAAAAGTTCATTTCTGTTGTTTGGAAATTTTATGATCTGGCTGCAGAAAGTTGTTAACATGTAAGATCTGTGAAGAATCCAAAGCTGTAGTTCTTAATCCTCAGACTCCTTTAAATTGGGCTTACCCTTAATTTCACAGTGGATTGAATAGGATTCCTTTTAAAAATAATGTCCCCAAATCTTTTAATCTAAACTGTATTGCTTTTTTTGATGGGCACTATTGTTTTATCTGTGTTATGTTTCTGCAGGATATGGTTTTGTATCATTGGGAAAAAAAGTCACTTTGTCTCTTCAAGTTCCTGCTTCTAAAATATTTGACAGATAATGAAAAAAACACGCTTAAAAAGGTTGGACTCCATTCCATGAAAATGAAGCAGCTGGTTTGGCAGAGTAGATATTCTCTATGAAAGCAAGAAAAACTCAGGTTTTTCAGATTGCATTTAAGTCAGAAATACTTTATTGACTAGGGAGAGCATAACAGGCCAAAAGAGCTATCTTTTCACTCAAGCCAAATATCATGCAAGAATGCTAGCACACCTGCATTTCATCCCAGTGCCCACTTTTAATCTCAGCAGTGGCCCCCAACCATGAGCTGACTGAAGAAAGCGGGGGGTGATTAAAATCCCCAGGTGGTGAGTTTTGATTAATTCTCCCAAATGACTTTATTTGTACCAGTAAGACTTGAAGCAGCTAGAATGTAGTCCTTTTGTGTGGAAATGTGGCAGCTCTTTTCAGGAAGTCTTGCTGATGAATAAAAATAACGGAGAGCCCTGTTCTTAACCAATAAACTTGTGTTAAGAAGATATTTAGATTTACATTCAGTTCTGGGACATTGTATAATTTTAAGTTGTTTTATGATTTCTTCAGGAGTATTTCCAAGAGAACATTTAAATAAACTGAGTTCTTCATGTGTAGTGCAGTACCCCAAACATAATTCTTGTCACTGTGAAAAGGGGTTTTTGGTTGGTTGGTTGGTTGTATTTTTTTTGAATGTACAAATCAGAAAATATTTTAAAAATCTACAGCTCATGATGGCAAAGCTACCATTTCTAACCGTTTACAACCTATTAAATGAACAAGGCATACAAATCTGAAAATATTTTTAAAAATCTACAGCTCATGATAGCAAAGCTGAGATTTCTAACTATTTAAAACCTATTAAATGAACAAGGCTGAAGTATTAAAGTGGTATGACTTGCCAGTTAATTTAAAATGTGTTCATGAGTTTCTGCTGTTTGCTTTCTCCACACTCTGACTTTTCAATCTCACAAACGCATATGCTACTGGATGAATAATTTATGTTTTAGTGCATAAATATTTTATCACTCAATTGTTTGCATAGTGCATTTTTACATTTGTTTAGGGGCATCATTTCTATGTAAAGTGGATTTCATAGGAGGTTAGCAATTTACTATGTCACTGTTAACATTCCAGATGTTGAATGTGGAGGAGGTTTTTATATCAGAAGCTTGGTCAGTGACATTGGAAAAGGTAAGCATAAAAATGAATTATGAATTATCATTTAGAGAGCAATACTCCTTTTCAATGGGAAGAGGGAATTTTCCGTTTTTCTTATTTCTGAGTACTGGCCTTAGGAACTGAACTCTTGCTGCCTTCAGCTTTAAAAGCATTGTAGGTTTCTGGCTTGCAATTATCAGCCTCAGCAGCTGCAGTGAAATGCTTGTAATGGGAAAGAAGAGAAACAGAGAACAGAAAATGAAGACAGGAATAATGAACTTAGGGCCAACATCTTTTCAAGTACAAAAGATTTTAACTCAAACTAGGGATAGGGAAAAAAAAAGATTTAACCTTCTAAAAGTTATTTTCAAATTGTTTTGAACTGGAAGCCGTAGTCTTTATAAACAGCCAGAAGGTTTCGGTTCTGGCTGTGCCATTTACTGGCAGCTGTTGCACTGGACAGGTCATACGATCTCATCTGTGAAGTGAGGGTAATCTTCATGGGGCTGCTGCATGAATTAAATAACAGAAACATGTGCAAGTTCTTTGTTGATTTTAAAGCAGCTTATAAGGTGGATTATTAAGTATTATTTTGCTACTTAATCATTTCTTTATCTCAGGGCTCTTGGTTCTTAGATTATTATACTCGTGCTTTTAGGTGATTTTGAGAGATTTGAATTGAGTACGGTCATTTGAACAATTGAAGACTATGAAATACTGAATCAATTATCTTCTGGATTTTTTCTCCACCTTTTGTTGCCATAGAACTGTCTTCCTGTGCCAATGTGCTAGAGCTGACCCGAACCAAACAGGGACCATTTACGCTAGAAGAACATGCCCTTCCTGAAGACAAATGGACAATTGATGACATTGCACAGTCTCTTGAGCATTGCTCATCTCTTTTCCCAGCAGAGCTGGCACTTAAAAAATCAAAACCTGAGAAGTCTAATGAACAGGTTTTGAGCTGTGAATATATAACTCTAAATGAGCCAAAGGGAGAAGATGATGTAATTAAGACGTGTTGAGATTGACCTGGGAATATCATCATTTTCTAGTTGACATTTGAATCCTGTGTGCAGATGCAGAATGACAAGCTACATTCAAAAGACAAACAATATTTCTAACTTTTCTTTTTTTTGCATGAAGAAAAACGTCCATCATTTATAGTTTCAATAGCATATAATTTATTTGCTATGCATTATAAATGGCCTTGCAGTTGCTCAGTTGTTTGCTGTGTTGTGGAGTGTTCTTTTAGGATTTTTTGTATTGTGAAAATATGAATATGATTAGATTCAGAAAAATTAACTTTCTGAATTTGATCTGTCTTGTGTCTTGTGAAAAAGTTGAACAAGTTTCTAATCAAAGAAAAAATGTGTGAGCTCCATGTTTCTTTAGTTTCACAAAAATGAACATAATTTAGTGTTATTTTTACTTTATTTAGGCTTCCTGGTGGCTTCATTTTATTGAAATTCTTTAAGTTGTTTAAAGTGGCCATTATTGATCTCTTTCTTGTGTTTTGGAGAGTTTATTATTAAAAACATTTCTTTGATAAAATGGCCATCATCTAGTAATACCTGTGTTAGTTTAGATCTTGGAAATGAATAAACTTTGATAATATTTATAAATGAACCAAATTATTACTGCTACTACTAACAGGATGTAAGTAGAAGACTAATAACTGAAGTCACCTTCCTACCGTTAGAGCAGAAGACAGCTCCTATAGTTTTGTATTTTGGCAGCTATGAGATATGTTCATGGTAATTTCAACGTGGTTAAGCACTTTGTACCAAGTTATTAAGTAACATCATTTTTAAAATGTAAAGAATGTGTCTTCAACTAAAAACTTTATTCTTTAGTATTTATTTAAATCTCTCTATAGGGCGTTATCCCGATGACATTGTTTCTTTTGTTTGCTCTTTCCAGAGATATTTATAGATGCTGAGATGGCTGCCTTGCATTTCCAGCTAAGCTCTTCTGCTCTAAATATTTAAAAACAGTTCTTCTCAAACATTTTCATTCAGATAGCTTTCTGAAAGTTCCCTATCCCTCTTTACCATAATTTTTTAAATGCAGCCATATTATAATAGTAAACTTCATATATAATGAGTGCTTCATATTTTTGTTGTGGGAAAGCAATATATTATGCAGCCAGTCTGTGGAAACATTAAATCCCTCTTCCTTTACTCAAATACGGTTTCAAAAGGAAGACTCATGAGAAATTTCATAAAATACAAGTTTTTAGATGTTTATGCTTTGTCTTTCTTTTTAAAGGTGTTTTTCTACTTTGTCATCTCTAACTCTGAAATTTAAAATATGTAAACTAAAGTAGTTTTATTTGTGCTTAACCCAATTTAAACTCAATGTAAAATATTATATATGCATCAGTACAGCATTTTCAGCATATTGGCAACATATTTTAAATGAAAACATTAAAACAATTCTTAGTATAAGACAAAATTGTAAGGAAAAAGAATGTTAATACCATGATGCATTAACATAACATACCAAACACACAATGTCATAAAATGAAAATGTGCAGTTTTAAAACTGTTCATATCCGGTGCCCCACAGTGTGTGTCAACCAAAGGTGGCAGTGGCTGCGCCTGCCTGTTGGAATGGTACAGGTTACAGTATGTCCTCTTCCATTGCAAGTTAAAGTCCAAATAGAAAAATACTTAGGTTTTAGAACACATCGGAGGTATTTCTGCTGTATTTTTCAACTTAAAAATTGACACATAGAGTTTACTAATAGAGGGAGTAGAGATTGTTGACAATTTTTTAAAAATGATAGTCACCCTTTTTCTTTTATATTTAAAACTGAAGGAAATTTTGCCAAATGGGAAAATTACTGTTATCTCTACCATCTTAATGTAGTAACTTTAGAATTTAAATTTTTATATTACTGTTTTCCTTTTTGTTGTTCACATAGTCTTAAGGCACCTACACTTTTAAATTGACTTTTTCATTTGATATTATCTATATGTATTTAGTTGTGATAATGATTATTTTAATTATATTACTTCATACTCTTATTTATCTATTGCTGAATACTTAAGTAGTTTTAAATTTGATTATGATAAATTCCTGGGAGGGGGATTATTTAGTGAAATAATATGAAGAACTTTATGACTTATGTTTGCCTTATTGCATTCCCAAAGAGTTGTAACATTTTACAGTGTTACCATTTGAGTAGGGGTTTTATATGTTGTTTCTAATTTAGTAAATATAGGAGAGAAATCAAAGTTTTTCTGATTTGCTTTTATGTGATTTATATGTATACTTTGTTCATTTATATAAATAAATATCTTAATGATTTCTGTACATATTTGCATGAGTTATTTGTGTTGTAAATACTTGATAGAAGGATTTTTCATGGTCTGTTGTCCTTTTAGATTTAATTTTCATTTTTGCTAACTATAGTTTTAATTTTCATTTTTGCTAACTAAATTTGCAATTCTAATAATTCTTCCCCTTTTATCGTTGTCAGATTAATAAGTATGAAAAGTTTAAAATTTATTGAAACTTTAAAATCTTATCGCTCTTACAAGCAGTTGAAACTGATTGAGATACTCTGAAAAGTTCAAGACTCATTCATAAAACAAATTAGTTTTCCCTGATAGTCTGGTATTTAAATTCCAACTGAATTTTTTTTTTCATTTTTGTCAAAATATTCAAGAAATTTCTGTGTCTTATATTTTTCTAGGTCTAAACCTTCATGACGTAATAAAGTTGTTTTACTTGTAAGAAAACGGTAAAAGGTTTTAAAAATCTGAAAATGTTTCAACCTGGAACATACCAAATCACTTCATTTTGACACTTTAAGTTTTTTATATTTGAAAAATATTGTCTTAAAAGTTGTTAAAAGTCATAGAATTATTTTATTTATAGTCTTAAAATCCAGGACCTTTATGTAATAGAAATTTGCTCTTTGCAAATTCAAAGTTTTGAAATGCGAATAAAGGCTAAACATACTTTCCTCTACCTGTACTGACTAGGTCTTTTTTTTCTTAAATACTTAAATTAAAACAAACCATTGACTCATCATCAGAAATGATTTACTGTATTAAATAAGAGTGCTTTGTATCAGATCTTCAGTACATTTTATGTCCCCTGACCAGTTTGAAATTTGTATCAGTTACAATGAACATTTTGAGGTTCAATTAGATGGTGAATTGTTCTGTTTTAAAGAAAGTAAGTAATTTACCTTATATCATGATGTATATTATAGAAAAAGATGTAATTCAAAAGCACTGTAAAATGCTGAAACATTTAAATAGAAGAAAAGATAATAGATACGAGGTTTATGCACTGAAATGAGTATAATGGCCTTGTAGTTAAATTTAAAGAGGGATTGTCTTGAAACAATTTCTTTCTCTAAGGAATGTATGGGCAGAGCTCTAGTTTGTCCTAATTCTTCATTAAATACTATTTATTAAGCAAATTTGTTAAGGCAGTTGAATCAGCAGTGCCTTCATTTGTTAATGTGTGGGCTAAATTGTCTTTATGAACAGGCATATCTTCACATTACTGCTATAAATAGTGATACTGGTCGGAAAGTTGAAGTTGGGGGATTATTTTGCTTTTGTCATCCATAACCGTTAAAATGCAGCATATTAACTTTATTTCTATCTTTACTATTAGTCAACTTTTTGATCCTAGGTGAATCACTTAATCTGTTTGGGTCTCAGTTTCCTTATTCTTACCACAAAGGAGACAGACTAGTCCATCTCGAAGAATCTCTCCAACACTAAAATATTAGGCTTCCAAGTGTAGATAATTAGTAATTATTTTGCTCAGGAACTCATTCCTCATGAACCTGAACTTTTATATTGATCAGTTCTGGAGAATTCCCATCCTTCATTTCTTTGGATATTGCATCTCTTCCAGCTAGTAATCCTATTTAAGTCTTTTTGTTTTATTGTATATCTAATTACTCTTTCGTATTTTCCATCTCTTTATCCCACTATGCTGCATACTGGGGAATTTCCTCCAATCTCTTTTCCAGATAATGAATGCCTTTTCCTATTTTTATTGACTGTTTAACAATCATATATTTATTCCAGTCACGCTTGTGTTTTATATTTATTTATTTATTTATTTTGAAACAGAGACTCACTCTGTTGTCCAGGCTGGAGTGCAGTGGCGCAATCTCGGCTCACTGCAACCTCCACCTCCCGGGTTCAAGCGGTTCTCCTGCCTCAGCCTCCTGAGTAGCTGGGATTACAGACGTGCACTACCATGCCCAGCTAATTTTTTTATTTTTGTATTTTTAGTAGAGATGAGGTTTCACCATGTTGGCCAGGCTGGTCTTGAACTCCTGACATCATGTGATCCTCTCATCTCGGCCTCCCAAAGTGTTAGGATTACAGACGTGAGTCACTGCCCTGGCCTTTTGTTTTTATTTCTACACCAGGTTTTTTTCCTCCAAAATCTGCCTCTTCTTTTTTCGTGTGTTGTCTTACTCTTTCATTAAGGTTTTAGTAAAATGTATTTTTTTTTTTACTTTGGTATTTAATATACGTACAGAAAGTCACACATAACTGTATAGCTTAGTGAATTTTCACAAACCAAACATGTCTATAATCAGCAAACAAGTCAAGAAACAGAACATCACTAAGGCCTCCAGAATCCTCTACTGCTTCATCAAGATTATAGATTAGTGTTTCATGTAACAATGTAGATTAGTAATTTTGTCTGTTTTTGTGCTTCATATAAATAGAAGTATGTGATATGTATTCTTTTATGTCTGGCTTCTTTTGCACAAAGTTATATTCATGAGGTTCTTCCATATTTTGACTGTCTTAGCTTGGGCTGCTATGACAAAATGTCATAGATTGAGTGACTTAACATACTTGTTTCTCAGAGTTTTGGAGGCTGGAAGTCTGAGATTGGGGTGTTAGTGTGTGGTTGGGTTCTTGTGAGGGCCATCTCCCTGGCTTGGAGAGGGCTACCTTCTCATTGTGTCCTCACATGACCGAGGGAGGAAGCTTTGTCTTTCTTCCTCCTCTTAGAGGGATGCTGACCCCATCATGGTGGCTCCAACCTCATGACCTTGTCTAAATTTAATTACCTCCCAAAGGCCCCACTTCCTGTTCATTGTCATTGTTTAGTATTATTCAGTTATTACCACTATTGATCTGTTTTACTGAATGATGGACACTTGGTTAGCTTTCAATTTTGACTATTTTAAATAATACTCTATGAGCAATCTAGCACTTGTCTCCTGGTAAACATGCACACATTTCTGTTGGAATTTTTTTTTTTTTTTTAGACAGAGTCTCTCTCTGCTGCCCAGGCTGGGTGGTGCAATCTCGGCTCACTGCAACCTCTGCCTCCCAGGTTCAAGCAATTCTCATGCCTCAGTCTCCCGAGTAGCTGGAAATAAAGGCACACGCCACTACACCCAGCTAATTTTTTTGTATTTTTAGTAGAGACAGGGTTTCACCATATTGACCAGGCTGGTCTCAAACTCCTGACCTCAGGTGATCTGTCTGCCTCAGCCTCCCAAAATGCTGGGATTACAGGTGTGAGCTACCATGACCTGCCTCTGATGGATATTTCTAAGACTGGAATCTAGGTTACAGAGTATACATATGTTAAACTTTAGTAGATACTGCAAGCAGTTTTTCAAAGTTGCTGTACCACCAGTGTATGAGAATTCTGATGGTTCCACATCCTTATCACCACAAAGTATTTTACGTTTTCATCTGAACCATTTAGGCACATGTTTACTTTATCACTATATGGTTTTAATGAGGTTTTCTCTGATTTCTTAGAGTTTTTCTTTATGTGTATTTTTTAGTCTCATTTTCTATGTAGTCTATTAGTCTATTTAGTCTTATTGTCTATTTAGTCCTAATAGTCTCTGTTAACTCAGTTATCTAGAATTCTTCGGGAGTATGCTCTAATATTGCTTGTTGAATCTCCCCATTCTCAGCCAAGGAAGACTGTGTCCTGCCTTGTGTCCTTTGTGTTGCGAACTTGGATTATGAGTTAATTCAGTGAGACTTTATGGGAGTGTGTGTGCATGGGTTGAGAGTGTCCTTCCAGAGAGATTTTGGGATTGTTTCTGCTAGGCACACCAGAGATATTGCTGTTCCAAAATCCTTATCGTAAATGATCGTTGCAGAGGTGTTTTGTTATTGTTGTGTTGTATTTTGTTTAATTTAAAGCCTAAGTCAATAAAGAAAAGCTTCCTTGTTTTTGCCCTATGTTTGTGGTAAATTGTGTTGTAGTCTACCATTATATTAAATGTATAGTCCTTTAAGGGTGCCAGTTTTATGTCTGTGTTTGTGAGTATCACAGTTCCAAAACCTACCTCTTCATTTCCATCCCCACTTAAAATGCAAACCCTTTGGTTACAGAGAGGAGTAAATCTTGCCTCCCTTCCCCACTACCTGGATTGCTGTAGCATCAACAAGTGTGTTTATCACTCTGGTTTTCAGAGTGTTCTTTATTTTGGAACCTGGTGAATTTCCTTTTAAGTTCAATTATTTTTTAAAGGAATTTTTTTAACATCACATTTATAAGCAATGGAATTCACCATTTTAAGTGTATAGTTCAGTGAGCTAGCTTGAGGTTTAACTTGCTCTTTTTCTAGTTTTAAAATAGAGGCTTAGGTCACTTCTTTTCAAACTTAAGCATTTAATGTTACCAGTTTTTCCTTGAGCACTGCTTTAGCTGCATCTCCTAAGTTACAATAAGTTGTCATTCAATTTAAAATAATTTCCATTATGATATTTCACTTTACCTATTACTTAGAAGTATATCATTTACTTTTTGAATATTAGAGGATTTTCTATATAAAATTCTCTAGTTGATGTTTAATTTCATTACAGTGAGAGAATATAAAATACGTGATTTCCATTCTTATAAATTTGTTAAGACTTGTTTCATGACTCAGAAATGGTCTACCTTGGAATTTGTTCCATGTACATTGGTTAAGAATGTGCTTTCATGGTTGTTGGGTGGGTCATTCTGTAAATATCAATTAGGTCAAGCTTGTTGCTTGTGTTATTCAGGTCTTCCATAGCCTTAATGGGGGGTTTGTTTTGCTTTGTTTTGTTTTCTGTTTTTGGTTTACTTTGCCTATCCGTTACGGTGAGAGGAGACCTGCAGTCTCCAATTACAATGTTGGACTTCTTCAGTTCTTTTTTTTTTTTTTCCAAGAGGGAGGCTCACTCTCTTCCCCAGGCTGGAATGCAGTGGCGTGGTCTTGGCTCACTGCAACCTCCTCCTCCTCCTGGGTTCAAGCAATTCTCCTGCCTCAGCCTCCCAAGTAGCTGAGATTACAGGTGCCAGCCACCAAGTCCAGCTAATTTTTGT